TTTTTAGTTGTAGATGGACACAATATCTATTTATTTTTATGTGGTGCCAAGGATCGAACCCAGTGCCTCATGTGTGCTAATCAACGCTCTACCACTGGGCTAAAAACCCCAGCCCTTTTTACAATTTTTATTTGTTCTTTTCAGTTATAGATGATAGTAGAATATATTTTGACGTATTATACATACATGGAGTATAACTTCCTATTCTTTTGTTTGTCCATGATGTGGAGTTACACTGGTCATGTATTCATAAATGAACATAGGAAAGTTATGTCCAATTCATTCTACTGTTTTTCTTGTGCCCATCCCCCCTCCCTTACCTTCATTCCTCTTTGTCTAATCCAGTGAACTTTGATTCTTCTCTCCACCCCCACCCCTTATTGTGTTAGCAGCCACATATCAGAGAGAACATTTGGCCCTTGGTTTTTTGGTTTTGACTTATTTCACTTAGCATGATAGTGTTCAGTTCCATTCATTTACTGGCAAACACCATAATTTCATTCTTCTTTATGGCTGAGTAATATTCCATTTTATATATATATACCAGCTTCTTTATCCATTCATTTGTTGAAGAGCACCTTGGTTGGTTCCATAGCTTAGCTATTATGTAAACTGAGCTGCTATAAATGTTGACGTGGCAGAGCCAGGGCCTCTGACCCTTGTTTGAGTCTTCCCCACTCCACTCCAGTTCCTCTTTCATTCCCCCAAAAGTTCTCCAATAGGTTCTGCCTTTCCTCAGCTCTTGTCACATCTGATTTGAAGACCAGTATGTTCTGGGCACAGAGACCCCAGATTTTACCTACAATTACACTGTCTTCTGCCCCTAGAATGGTAACTGGGAAATACTGAGATCTCAGGTATATTGTTTCTAAGACCAGTAATATGCTGATTTTAAGTTCTCTGGGTATATGGACCGAGGAGTGGGATAATTGGGTTAAGTGGTGGTTCCATTTCAAGTTTTCTGAGGAATCTTCATATTGCTTTCTAGAGTGGTTGCCACCAATTTGCAGTCCCACCAGCAATGTAGGAGTATACCTTTCCCCTGACATCCTTGCCAAGATTGTTACTTGTATTCTTGATAATTCTGGCAGTGATTCTTAACTCTGACAGTATATTAGAAACACTGGGAGGGTTTTTTTTTTTCTTTAGTTTTTCCCTAGTTTATGCCCTAGACTCATTCAACAGAACCATCTTTTTTTTTTTTTTTTTCCCATTTCCAGATGATGTGTACCCAAAGGCTGAGTTTCTCCCTGGAGAATTTCTTTGCCTAAAGGACATCACTCTAAACTAATGACTCCAAGGGGTAATTTCAGTAAGGCCCCCTGTATCTTTGACCCTGAACCTCAAGACCAACCTGACCCTACTCCTCCCCATGTATTTATTATTCATATTACAATTTGGCCTAACCACAGCTCAACAACTAGGAGTTCCTGGCTAGTGCCAGGACATCCAAGTAATAAAAGTAGCCATGGCTCTGAGTATCAGTTAAGTCTCCCAACTGGACTAGCAGTGGGGAATGCAGGAACTTGCCCAGAATCCCTCACTCCAACCTTTCCCCCCAACTGAAGGCTGTGGGAGATTTCATTGTGTGTCAACTCAACAACACCCAGGGGCAAGTTTGTATGTGTATCTCCCCCCAAGTGCTGGGGACTAAACCCAGGGCCTTAAGCATGCCCGGCAAGTGCTCTACCACTGAGTTACTTCCCCAGTCTGAGACCCTCATCTTGACAGCACCTGGGCTGTGTCCCCAACAACACAAATGCAGGTACTTAGACCTGAACTCCTTGGGAAACTTACTAGAAGCAGCAGTACTTCTATTTGCTTGGGAACATGCAGCTCTGACTCCAAGACTGAGAGGCTTTTGCAAGTTGAGAGCTAAATGAGGTGTCCTGGGAAACTGAGAAGCTCAGCTGTGCTTCTCCTACCCTTAGGCCCTGTTGGTGGGCTACCTACTCACACATCAGAAGAAAGCCTAGTGCCCCTGGCAACACCTGCCAGGGAAGACAGAAGGGCTCTCCTGAACACTCCCCGCCTATGGAGATGCTTGTGGTGGCAGTGGTTTGGGGCTTGGTCAACAGGAGCCTCTGCTGAGGTATGTGATTCTTCCTCAAGTCAATTCCTCAAATAAAATAAAATAAAATAAAAAATTTTAAAGAATGGTTAACTAATGTTCTGTCTCTACCTGACCAGCTGCGTTTTGTCCTAGAGTTTCGTTCTGGGAACAAAGTACATACCACAAACTTTTGTGTAAATGAAAGTTTATTGACGAAGACACAAGGTCAAGCTTCGCCCAACCCCACCCTCCCCAAGAACAGATCCCAATAAGAACAAAAGAATGATAAAGCATTCTTAGGGCAACACTTCCCCTCCCCCCATCTCTCTCCATCCCAGGCTTCACAACACAGGCACAGGGAACAGGCTTGGGTGAGGACAGACACTCAGGGTATCTCTGACCAGCAAGAGTTCTGGGTGTGTGTTTGCTTCCCTTGCCCTTTGTTATGATGCCAACTGCCATTACAGAGGAAAGGAAGGGGGTGCTGGGCAACCTCCAATAGGTTCCTCCAATCTGGCCCAAACGAAGAGGCTGGAAGGGAAGATGTAGTGGAGGCAACAGGTGGTATCTCTAGGGAAGAGACTTTTATATGTGGAGTCCCTCCCTGACTGCTCAGGGTGTGACAGGAGGAAGAACAAACACATTGTGGATTGGCTCAGTCAGATTGGCTAGGAATAGCAGCTGTTCCTGTTATTGGTGGGGAGGCCTAGAAGTCTCAGTTTTAGGGGTTGAGTGACATATCCTGGCATAAAACTGTGTTCTGTCTGCCCTGACACACTTTTCTTCTGGAACCATGGTTTGCTTTGAGATGACAACAGTGTTTGTAGTGTGAACCTTCTTCACTACTCGTATCCCATGACTCCATGAATGAGTCCCAACAAGGGAACTTTATCAATTTGTTTTTCTACCCCTCACATCACCAACCTACCCACCTCCCACACACATCCTGTGCTATTTCCTACTCCTCATGTGCCTGAAATGTAGTGAGTGAGGGACATATTTCCTTTCTCCCACCCACTAATTCTTTTCTTGAAGAACCTTACGGTTTAAGAAACTGCTTTGGAGGACCCACTCCCTCCAAGCTTTGCAAATGGTACGAAGCAAGATCATTTTGGACATGATGGGACTGGTTTCTGCTCGTTTTCCACAATTCTCCAAAGTCCAATGGGTTAGGTATGAGTCCAATATGAGGACTGTGGACCCTGGGGTGCCTCTGACTTAGGAGACTCTGAGCACAACGTGTTGGCTCCTGAATACCAGGTGCCAGACTATGCCACAAGTGTCCAAAGGTCACACAGTGTGAACACTGCTAAGCAGTGTGGTGTTTTGGGCACGAAGCATTCTTTGACCAGTTGTCCCCACTGTGTTCACATCTCCAAGATCCCTCCTTTTTTTTTGTTCCTGTGGTGCTGGGGATTGCAAACACCCTACCACTGAACTACATCCCAGCCCTCCTCCAGTCTTTTGAGATGACAAGAACTGCTTGAACTTCTGGGATGATCGTAATTTGTTTTGGAATCTGAATAATGTAAAGAGCAGATCAGAGAGCTGAAGGGATAAAGAGAATCTGCAACATCTCTAAGCTCACTTCATCTCTACACCCACCCTGCTGACCTTGGGAATTAAGGCTCTAGGAGGACAGGGGAAACATCAGCTATACCTTCATTCTGTCATCCAGATACTGAAAAGATACTCTGCTGTGACCTGATGCTAATCAGTACTGAACATATGAAGCGCCACAGAGCAGGCAGAGAAAGGCAGGAGAAGGCATTGAGGAAATGAGCAGTAGTGAGACAGTCCCGCAGTGAGCACAACACTGATGGAAAATTTCGGGGACCCAACCTCAGCTCCACTACTGGACAGCTGACAGGCCATAATACCCTTTTTGATTTTTTAAAAATATTTTTTAGTTGTCAATGAACCTTTATTTACTTATATGAGGGACTGAGAATCAAACCTAGTTTGATTAGGTACTGGTCAGGTACGTGCTCTATCTACCACTGAGCCACCCCCTAGCCCCCCCTTTTGCTTTTTATCTTTCTCCTTTGTAAGAAAACAGAGTTGGATACAGTCATTAAAGTCTGTTTCAACTTGAAAACTGATTTTAGATGTCAACTGGACCTGAGGAATACAGGGAACAGGGCTGGGAGAGGCCATTTTGGTTCTTGTTCTCTTACCTCTACTCAAATTCCTTAATTAGTCTTATTAATGGGTTAGTTTAGTGGAAAGGAATGTAGTCTGAATTTCTTTCAGCTTTGGTGCTGATGGGCTCCATGTTTCCTGTACCCTGAAACATCACTGACCATTCCCAACTGCAAGGCCATCAATGACATGATAATATGGTGGGTGACGGCAGCGGGGAGCACAAAGGCTTGCCTGAGGAAGGAGAATGGAGACAAAAACCAAAAAGAGCAAAAATCCAAAAGACCAGGGACAAGTTTGCCACAGATGAGGGACCCTCTAAAAGAGTGGGCTGTAACTGCTTCTCTTCCTCTAAGACTGCTGTGAATGATGGCCACTTGTTTTAACACTTTCTACGACTACCTCAACTTCACATATGTACAAAAATATAAAACAATAAAGTGCAGTTTATGTTTCAGTGACACTTTTCCTTGCTTTAATGTTTGTTGTCTTTTTCTGCTTTTGAAATGAGCTCTCGATTACAAAATATCAAACTACACTCAAAAGAAGGTGTAGAAAAAGCCAGCTGTTGGCACAGCACGGAGAAGCCCACAAATAAAGACAGATAGCAGCAGCAGGTGGCAAGAGGTGGGAAGTGACTGAAGCAGTGGTTACAAATGTTCACAGGAAGCTAAAACTATCCAACAAGTTGTGCTCTAATGTTAGCACAGGTTAGACTAGTCACTACCTTGGTGGGTGGCCTCAGTGTGTTTGAGTTCGGATTCTATACAATTTCTTCCAGTTAAGAATTCTTGGCTTGCACCAATCACAGGGAAGTTGGAGGGTACTGGACCAGTTTATTAGTTTTTCAAAATGCTGTCGTAGACCTGATAGATGTATTGAGAGACTTCAGGAGCTCTACACTTCAGGGACAGCTGTTAAGAAGAAAAGAAGAAGGACTATTAGTATGGAGGTTGGCATTACTCTAAAGGTATCCAAGCATTCAGTTCAAGAAAATTTCTGATACAATGTGAGAGAAACTTCTATCACTGGAGTAGCCAAACAAAGAGATCATGTTACTAGGTGCTATGGATCCTAGAATTTCACTTTGACAAATATCAAACTGTATGTCTTTTTACCTCCCTCTTATGTTGATCTATGAGGTTAGGAAATAATCCACGCTAAAAACATCAAGGCTTCTGACAGCAAGGGAAACAGCCATTCTAATGCTTTACCAAGAGTTACAGGGATTACTATACCAACAAAAAAGGAAAGGCAAAAACCCTTTTGGTGGGGCTGGGGCTGTGGGCTCAGTGGTAGAGTGCTCGCCTAGCATGCATGAGGCACTGAGTTCGATCCTCAGCACCATATAAAAATAAAATAAAGATACTGTGTCCACCTAAAACAAATAAATAAATATTTTAAAAAAACCAACCCTTTTGTTGATGGTCATTTCAGCTGTCTGCCTCAATTCCTCAGACAAGGAGGAACTGTACAATCAAGTCAAATAAAAACAAAAGTTTGGTTAAGTCTAAGATACAAGTCCTTTCTAAATTACACTGGGGAGAGCATACATTCTTTTTTATTGTTCTTTCTGGGTCCGGGGGGATTGAACCCAGAGCTTCCCACATGGTAGGCAAGTGTTCTACCACTGAGCTACACCCCTAGCCTGAGAGTATACACCCTTAAGAAGGGAAGACAAGAACTATCAACTACTTAGTGTAACTGGACAGCAATTCGTGCCAAATGCTTCATCTTTCATTTTCTGCCTCTTTAGACAGGCAATTTAGATATTTCTGATACCACTTCTACTCCTCCACCACTGTCTCTTCTCTTAGTTTAATGAATACCAAGTTAAACACTGAGAATTTCACTTTGTGGTTCAAAAAGAACAAAATTTAAACCCAGGTTTGAACTCCTTAATTGTATCAGATTAGGCAAATTATTATTGACAATAACTTATAAGCAAGCAAAATATATTTTAGAATAAGAAAAAAAAATTTTCCCTTGGACTATTGACATCATTGCTCTTTTTAAGTTAGGACAGAGCAACAAAAGTTTGTATTTTTTTAAATTATTTTCCCTCTTTATTCTCTTATTAAAGAGACTCTGAACAATTAAACATAGATCAATGGTGAAAATATCTTTGGAAAAGAATCAAAAAGATATTGGTCAATGCTGAATTTTCTGAAAAACCAATATCCTAAAAACAAAGAAAAATAAAAAATAAAAGCAATCCAAAAAAGGAAAAAAATCAGAATATTTTATTTTAAAGCTTTAACATTCAGTCTCCAAGGCTGCTGTTTAATATCAATCAGATAACTCTGTTAAATATAAAAACCAAAAACAACCATCCAACATAAGAATTCAAATACACATGGAAAACAGCCTCCTTCCACCCAAGTTATAGCTTTAGGCGTTTCACCAATTTTTAAACTCCCTACAGAGGCAATTCTTCTATCTCCTCCTCTTCAGCCTTTCCACTGCCAATGTTGTGGAAACGTCTAGTGGAAAATATGTGGGTTCAGAGGAGGAGGTGGAAGAGGAGGAGAGGAAGCTAAAAAGAACAAGAACAGCTTAAGGGAGTTAACTCAGACTAAAGAGGGGTAGTTCCTTTTTCCCAAAATACTGTCCTATATTTTTTCACACCTTTGTAACAATACTTTAGGTTCTGTTGCTTAGAGGTTCCTTTTTTTGTTGTTCATGACTAGTAAGGAAATACTGCTATTCTCAACAAAAGCCCAAAGTGCTAAACACCATGAATAATGGATTGACCAGGCCTAGATAGACCCTGAGGCATTACAGCTGTTCTTCAGAGGAAAACGAAGAATTTTTCTATTTTCTCTGGATTCAAATATTCTGTTCTCCTCACCCCAAACCCTGCCCCCATTCCAGCCTAAGGAAAACAGGCCTTTCCTGGGACCTAACTTCTGACCTGCTTATGTGACACATCATTAATATCAACCACTCAGGAATGTTGCCCCCTAGACATACCAAAGGAGGAGAGTTACCTGTCCTGTCTAAGAACACATGCTTCTTCACCTGGGTCAAGTTATTTTTCCAAGACTGACTTATAGAGATATGGCCTTACACTTAAAAACTGTTTTTTGTTTTGTTTTGTTTTTTAGTATTATATCCATTTTATTTCTCTGTATAATTGAATGTTATTTGACCATAAAAAGAAATATTGATATGGATAAACACACCTTCTTAATGAAAATCAGTAAGGACTGGATTAGAGGAAGATGCTTTATCAACCCCTTAGGAAACAAAGGGACCATCAGTCCTTCAGGCACTAGTATTGGCTTAACTTTTTTTTAATTTTTTTTTTTTTTAAGTTGTAGATGGACACACTATCTTTACTTATTTTTAATGTGGTGCCGAGGATCGAACCCAGCACCTCACTCATGCTAGGTGAGCACTCTACCACTGAGCCATGACCCCAGTCCCTTAATCAGATTTTGTTCCTTCTTAATACCAAGCTAAGAACAGATCAATAGTATAACGGGTGCTTAGGATGATGGAGGGAAAGGAATGGGTCTGGGTGATAATGAATCTACAGCCTCACTCAGGAATAGATTAGATCTATGTCACGTGATATGATGAAAGGTTCAGAAGGTCCTGTGGGTAGAGGGAACCTGGTTACTAGAGGGATGAGTAACACAAAGAATAAAGGAAGCCAAATAAATATTTTAAAAGACAGGGAAGGACGGAAGGTGGGTGTGGCTAAAAAGAAATAACATTAGGACAACATCTTGAGGTACTCTCTTTCATTTGTATTGTTTTATGCTGAATTTATTCCTAGGCCTTGTTTTTTTCTTCCTTCAGTTTCTTCTGGGATATTTTCTTCTGGGCACTCTCTTGGTTTAGAACAGTTTATTCCATTTCAATAAAGATCTTCTCAAAATGGCAGGGGGAGCTCATGGTTGAGTTTATGTGTATGTGAGTATGTGTTGTGGGGGGGTTTGGGGATTGAGTCCAATGGCGCTCTAACACTAAATTATACGTCCAGCCTTTTAAAATTTTATATAAAAACTGATGAAATCTGAATAAGGGATATAATCAATCGTATTGTACCAATGCCTATTTTCTAATGAAGTATGGGTGTTCTTTCATTGTCAGTGGGGAACACTGGGAACTGTATGTTCCATTTAAAAAATTTGAGTCTTTAATTACTTAAAAATAAAAAAATTTTAAAAATTCAACAAACTTATGTTTAGGACAGTGATACTATCAGGTCCTTCTCAAAATAAAGAATATGGAATAGGAAGCATCAATAAACACCTGACCTCTGAACACTACTCATCTACTTACAAAGAATAATTATGCTCCTTTAACCTAGATGAGATGAAAGATTGTATACAATAAAATCATGAATGGGAAGCAAAAAGAAACACATACATGCACACAGCACACAATTAGAGCCAAATTTCTAGGAAGTAAAGAAATTATTTTATAAGACTTTGATTTTATAGTGAAAACCTGTCCTTCTATAGTAACAGCACAGAGGGGTTTTTCTCTTGGGGAATTCAAGGTAAATGATTAGAGAGGTCTACTCTTCAAAACAAAACAAAAAAACCCCAAAAACAAACCCAAGGGATTAGTGGTGGGAGGGAGGAGTAATACCGTACAAGGGAAGCTTGAAGTTTTCCTGCTCTCAGATGCTTGAGCAAAAATCTAACTTAAGGGACTCCGCATCAGCAACTCACATGTATACAAGCCATTCCTGTTTACTGCAAGGAAGGGAGCTGGTGGGGAAAGCACCAAGAGTTTTCAGAGCTGGCAGGGCTATTCCCTTGATGTAAGCTAATAAAAACAGATTTAGCTGTCAAAACTAAGAAATGGGGTCATGACGTTTCTTAGTTAAACAGTTAAAAGGCTCCCTGGATTTATTGACAATTCAATATTGAAAGTTTCTTATTCAATATTGTCACTTGCCTGTCCCATCCTTCAATACTGCCTATTAGAAAACTCAAGTATAACACAAGAATAAGACACCCCCCCACCCCCGACAAACTCAAAGAGTTTGTTTTATCTTTTCAGAATGCAGATGACAAGCAGCATCTTGTTGGAAGATCACATTTTACAACAATAAACAAATGCCCATGGCTTATGGTATCAATCTTAGCTGGTTAACAAAGAAACGGCTTCTGCCTTATATTGTCAGAATTTTTACTTTAGTTCAGTGTGGTACTGAAGGAGGTTTTTTCAAACTGAATCCCCTTACATGCTTGTCAATGTATGTTCCATTTTGCCTTACTTTTCACAATATGCATTTCAAGACATACAAAGGCACTTGTGTATATGACTCCGATATCCTTAGGTCATAGACTTCCAAAGCAGGAAAGATCCTCTTAAAATCAGCGAGGAAACCATCTTCATAGTGGCTTGTTATAGTACCACACGCACAGTTATGGTAGTTAAGTATTAACTTATATTTGGATCAAGTTGCCAAGTTTTGTGAGCAGCTCGCAAGAATGGTTGTGCCACACTCCCTATTGCCAGAGCCACCATGCCTGTTGCGTGGGGCAGGCACCACAATGAGGAGGTCTTCCATCAAGGCAATCAGGGAGTTCTTTATTGACTGATTATGGGTGATACCTCTGATCTGAAGCATCTCCTCTGGGTCTTGTGCCAAGCAAAAATGGAAGGGTTCTTACCTCCCTCCTCTAATCCATCTCATCCATTCTGAGAAGGGTCTTACCGTATAATTGGGGTTTCCTGGCTGGATGCGTAGCTCAGCCAAAATCCAAATGCCATTAGTGAGCTTCAGGGATTGGTATAGCATGTCCTGCCCTTCCACATTCCTCTTGGCAATAGTATAAACATTGTTGTTCTGCAACTTGCTGGAAACAGTGTCTAGAAATAGATTCAAACCCCAACACCTTAAGTTAAAATCTCAAATAAATTTATGCTCTCTTCTGACATTCTTATGAGCAACATGTGCTCAAGTTCCTGACAAGTACAAGTCCCTAACAAATGTGCAGGTACATATTTCAGGAAGCCCTTTTCCCACACACAGCACCTAAACAATGGGTTCAAGAGTTACCTGTGGAAATTATAAAATAGGTGAGCCTAAGGGTTTAGTATATCAAACACAGTGGCTATATGAATGAAAATGCTCTGAAATGCACAAGATCAGAGACAGGAAATGTAATAATTCCTAGAATGCTGGTCTCAGATCAATGAGGATATAAAGACTGATAATCAAATCTATAATACTTCCTTCCCAAGTCACTATTACTTTACTGTGAGCCACATGGGTCTTAATAACAGGATCAGAAAAGGGCAGAGTTGCAGAAGTCCTTCAAGTCAAATTTATTAACTGGGATATTTAAGATTTTTTTTTTTTTAAACAGGCAAATGATTTCTTAAAACTTTAAAGAACACCATGTCTCTAAATAAACCATGAAACAACCATCTCAATATAAGGCTCTGCAGAAGACTGAAGCTATGCAAAAGTGACTGCAGCCAGGCCTGGATACAAGTCTTCTTAGTTATCAACTCTGGCTATTCCAGAATTAAAGATCCCCTTTCTTTGTGAGATGCTGCGACATCAGAGAAAGAGAAACTTCCAGAATAGAGATGATAACACTACCTTCTTTAACTGTTTATTATGTTAATTTCTGATGAGAATTTAAATTACTCATGCCTCTCTCAGGATCCAAATTCTCCCACATAAAATTCTGCCTATTCTTGTGTGCTTTCTAGGAAAAGGTAGCCAAGATAAATAGTCTTATACCCTCCCTGAAGGGTAAGCCCTCAGGACAGGGATCCTGGAGTTTTTCACTGTGGCTTACCATAGTACCTGGGACACAATAAGGTAACTGTCATCCATATCTATGAATATGCCTCTGACTTGGGTGTTGAAAATGCCAATATTTACATAATGCCATAGACACTAAAAACCATCTCCACAAATATAGGCGAATTTGAAGGTACGACTCACCCTGATATCTTTTTACTACACTCAAACCAGCAATAGTTTGGGGAAGGATGAACTAAAGCCCCATTCATTAAGTATTTTCATCACACTTATTTACTACTTAACTTTTCCTCTTTTATTTCCAAGGTTTTTAATAACACCAAGTAAAACAGTTATAACTTACGAAACAGCTCTGAGGAGCCAAAAAGTGTATCTCAGAATACTTATATATAATATTGGTAGAGAAGACAGCTTCAGTATGCTTTGCAATCACCTTGTGGGGGGTCAGGCAGTTCTGGCTGTCATCCTCATTCCCACAGTGAAGGGTTCTTGCAGCTTAGACTGGGTTGCTAAGCAACATCACCAGTTGGAGTTTGGCTAATATCTTTTGACAGGATTGTCTTGAACACATAGAGGCTCGTGTTAAGTTGAAAAAACTATTATTCTTAACCTTTCAAGGTGTTTGTCCATTTCCCAGAACAACAAAATACATACATAGTAGGAACTTCTGTTTTAAGTTCTGCATAGGCATGTTTGTTCTAGACAATGTGTATAGCAATGCCCAGATTACTAGACTTCTTATGATCTTATGCAAGAGATGACAGGCCAGGAACTTAGCTGTGTTCATACTGAATGAATGGTTGTTGTATTGCTACTTCTATCAGAGGATTGAATGAAAGGAGGATTTCTAACATAAGTATGTGTGAATCAGCTTTTTTTTTCCCTTCCTCCCTTCCCTCTTTCCATCATAGTGCTGGGGACTGAACCAGGGTCTTCTGCATGTAGGCAAGTTCTCTATCACTGAGCTATATCCCTAGCCCCTTTGAAATTTTTATTCTGAGACAGGTTATCACTAAGGCTAACTCAGCCAAGGCTAACTCAGCCTCTCAAGTAGTTGGGATTATAGGTGTGTGCCACCTATAATTGTTTTTCTTAAATTAAGTCACACTTCTTCTGGCAGCAATAAAGGTAAAGAAGGTTCCCAAAGCAGAGAGTGGGAATCAGGGAGTTTGCATTCAGGCACCAGCTAGGGCATTCATTATCGAGTTCAAAACCACTAAGACTGCTGGAAAAAACACTCTATCATTTGAGCAAACAAACTAGAGTTAAAAGTTGACTGGGAAAGTTCCCATTTTTGAAATGTTCCAAGGGATGGAGAGAGCCATGACAAACACAGAAATATAACTCATTACCACTTAATGCCCATGTCTGAAGAAATATCTTATCTCACTATAATGTCTAACTAGTGAAAACAGATATACCATGTCTCTGAGCTTTTTTTTTGAGGTGTATAGACTTTTAATTTTTAAAATTTACAATAAAATACATTATCACACAGTGCAGGAGCTAGCAAAGGGCAGTCTCTGAGCTTTTAAGAATATGCTAAACACTTAATTAAAAAAAAAAAAAAAAAGATTTGTATTCAGACATATTGGCACATGCCTGTGATCCCAAAGGCTCAGGAGGCTGAGTCAGGAGAATGGAGAGTTCAAAGCTAGCCTCAGCAACATCAAAACACTAAGCAACTCAGTGAGACCCTGTCTCTAAATAAAATATAAAATAGGGCTGGGGATGTGGCTCAGTGGTCGATTGTCCCTGAGTTCAATCCCCGGTACCCCACTTCCCCCCAAAACAAAAACGATTTATAGTATTGTTTTCCACACAGATTCATTTTTTGATAAGGCTAGTGATGCAACTACTTCTTATGCACTTATGATAGTGTTCCCAAATATATGTACTAACTCCAAGTGTAGGCCCAATGGTTAAGATGCAAAAGAGATTCAGAAAGATCTCTTGACTCTGTAGGATTGATTAGTGCTAGGAAGCAAGGAGTCCTGTCCATTAGTGCCTTTCTGATCTAAAAATGTTATTTAAAATAAATAACGGCACCATAAGCACCCTTATTGCATACCCCTTTCTATTAAGGTCTGATTATTATTAAGACTTGGGAAGAGGGTCTCTTTCTTCTTTAGAAAGATGGGAAAAAGCAAAAGTAAAAGCTCAATGCTAGGTTGGTAAGTCCTTTAAGCCTGTGACTTCTTATAACCCTCAAGAGTGCTCGTTCCATTTGTCAAATGTCTAGCTAGCACAGAAAAGCTATTTTAAGTGTTGGTGCTATTGTGATTAGGGCAGAGCAGCTGGAAAAGATGTTATTTTTAGCTCTTAGCTAGACCCAGGGTGTTGAATCAGAAGGCACTAAACCTGCAAACACTCCTGTTAATAGAGCCCTTAAGACTGGAAAGAAATATAAAGGCCAGGACACTCCAGACCTTGGGGTGGAGTCAAAGGAAAAGTTACAAAGGATTAGTTACAGGAAGTGGTCTTACAAGATTAGCAGTGATTTAGTGTGTGAAATGATGGCCTTGGGCTCCTAGAGAAAACGAATTGGCTGGTTTTCTGTATGTTTCATGTGCTCCACTGCAACAGAGCAGTGTCACTAGAAAACCAATTCAATAGTATTTGGAGCACCAAAGGCAGAGAGGGATTGGAGTGGGGCCATGGCAAAACTGGTCAAACTGAATTTGCTTTGAGATCTACATCAGAGGATATGGCCTTACTTGGAAAAAGGCCAGGCATTTCCTCTTTGGCAAGTGAAATACAGCTTCAAGACTCTCACCTTGAAGCAGAGTTATAATATTTTTTTTTCTATTATTTTGGCAGGGCAAACTAAAGCTCTCATTCATTCCAACTTCCATTTTTTCTTTATGAAAAAAGCATGTCTCTTTCACACTGGACCTCTAAAACCAAACCTAACTTCCAATTACTGTGGCTTTTCTTGGCTACATAGACCAGAATTTCCCAGATCATGTTCAAGAAACAATGATATTCCATGAGACATTAAAAAGCACTTCATGATTTTAAATTCTATGATCAAATAAATTCAGCTAACACTGAGTTAAACAGTTTCTTTAATAGAGCCTTCTCTGAGCTTTTAGTGTGTGAATGTACAATGGCAACTTTTTTTGTTTTTAAATACTATTTTAGTTGTAGTTAGACACAATATCTTTATTTTATTTGTGGTGCTGAGGATAGAACCCAGCATCTCACACATGCTAGGCAAGCACTCTACTGCTGAGCCACAACCTCAGCCCCTGCAATGACAACTTCTAAGAGAGGCATGTCATATGCTGTATTTTTCAACTTTAATTGACCACAGACGCTACACCCTTTTTTATTGAGAAACAAGTGATCTCAGGAACATGCTATCTGAAATGCTGCTACTGGATCAACTGCCACAAGGGTGATGGTTAATCCAGGTCCCGTCTCTTCCAAGTGAGTGTAGAGGCTGCTTCTCTGAAGAGACTCATTTTGGTTTTTACCACTAGCTCCTGTGCATTCTGCACACAGGGGTTTCTTGAAGAATAGCTTGTTCCATGTAAAGTTGGTTCATGGTAACTGACCAGTCAGTCTCAGTGAGAGGGACAGATGACAGTCACCTACTTATGACATGGCACAAGATGAAGAGAATCAACTAACTAGTTATTTTGATAGAAATCATAAGAGTCAACACTCAACACCTCTCTAAGGGCTGAGGAGGTATAAGGTAATCCTTATCAAAAGCAAACTTCTGCATGAAGTTTATACATTCAAAAAATGTCAGTCTGTCTGTCTTTTATATCTGAGGGCTCAAGCAGGGCTTGTCTCCTGAATCTCTCAAAGAAGGCCTACATCCACATCACATTCAAAAGAGGCATCACAGGAAGAAGCTGATCACTTTCAGATTTCAAAGCTCTATATGAAAAGATCTATCTGAACACAGAAGATGAAAACAACACAGAGATCCAAAAAACTAAAATTAAAAACAAAAAGTTGGAACAACTTTCTTTTTTCTTTTTTTTCTTTTGGCAGTGCTGGGCAAGGCAAGCACTCTACCAACTGAGCTATATCCCCAGCCCCCCTGGAACAACTCTCTGAATTGCCATATTGCCTCTTTCCCCCAATATCCTGCTCCATCTTCAAGAGAAGATAGAAGTGTGCTGAAAGCACCTTATGAGAAATATTAAAGTGTGGAAGAGGAAATGATGGGGAAATGAGGAAGAAGGAGATACTGACCAAGCACCAAGGCTCATTTTCATTTGAATTCATAAAATCTTTATACTGAGACAGATGAAGGGGGTGTCGAAGGGGGAGAAGAAGGGAGGAGGCAGGCACAAAATGCAGGACTCTAAACAGTGAAGAGCTTCTTCCACTTCAGTGAAACAAAACCCTAGGGAATGACAGCTGCTATTGTTTCTCCTCTTAGGTTACCTCTTTTTATGTTCTATTATAGTAATAAAATTAACTACCAAAGAGTCTGGGGATTTTTAATGGTGAATGAAAGAGGACAAAATCATCATATAAAAGCTGATACAAGGCAGTAAAGAAAAAGGTTACCATCCAGGCTTTAATCAACCACAATGCATTCTTTAATTATAAATTAAAGAGATTCTAAATACAGGATTCTCAGAAAGATAGCTACCTTTCCTTCAATATCAAAAGGTTTTGGCAGAAAAGATGAAATGGTCCTTTTAATTATTTGGAAAGTGCATATCCTCAAAGGACACTTTAATGTTTAAATAATATGATTACTTAAGTCATCTGATTAACCGAGTTAATCAGATGTTTAAGTAATATGAATCACTTGTCTTCAACTACTGAAGAACTGTGTAGATGGATTCTTTCTAGTCTGTTTCCTAAATCTATTAGCTTGTAATCTAGTGCCTTATATCGAAATATCCCAAGTTTGTAAAGAGAGCTTTGCAAAGTAATGTGTCTAACACTTACCCACTGGAAACATGTTAGAGATGTGGAAAGAAAGAGGAATATAAAGCAAAGATAAAACCTTAAAATATCTAATTGGCTTACTAAGATGAAAATGAAACTTAACTATTACTCACCAGCATTTAAATGGCATTCCTTAATCTGAAACTGAAGTTCATTTTCATTGGGAATATCCTTCCATGTTGCAAGGAAGACCTGGCGTTCTGTATTGGGAAGCAGGGGGAAAAGGTAGATGTATTGTCAGTATTCTCATTTTTGGTGCCTTGCACATTTCCCTTTTGGAATACTAGCTCTTGCAATACAGCCAGCAGCAGGCTGGAACTGGAGCCAATTTTTATCTATTACACTGGTATTATAAACCCCAGATCAATCAACCCCTCATTCAAAAGCATGAAGATACACTGGGAAAGAGTTTTTCATTTAGAAGTCAGTTTTGGTTCCCTTGTTTTCCTGTTTGGGTGACTTTGGGTAAGTCCTGTGACCTTTCTGAGCCTGAATTTCTTCATTTATAATTACATCTGTCCAACTATCCCCTAAGAGCCACTGTAAAGATCAAGTCAATTAAGCACCAATATAACTTAATAGCTACTAATATAGACTAGTTTGCTTTTTTTTGGGGGGCGGGGAATGGTGGTATAGAGGATCCAACCCAGGACCTCATGCATAAGTGCTCTACCAATGAGCTACACCCCCAGCCCTTTTTATTTTGAAACAGGGTCTAAATCGGCATGGCTGACCTCAAACTCGTGATTCTCCTGCCTCATCCTCCCAAGTTGCTGAGATTAAGTGTGTGCCATTGCACCTGGCTGAAAGGCTAGTTTTTATCAGGTAGTGGTTTCTTAAACAAGGGAAGAGAGAAATGTCAACAGCCACATAGGGAGTACTAATGATTTATTACAAATTACTGATTTATTTATCTTGAGGAGGTAAGAACTTAGTACAAAGTATAACATTCATACATATTACCTCATTAAGTCATTATAAAAACAATTTTCATTTTGCAAACATGAAAACTAAAACAGAAAAAGCTAATCAGTTAGCCCATGGTCACACAGCCAATAAATGGTACAGTTAAGATCAAGTCCACGTCTACCTTTTCCCCAAACCTCTTACACTGAATCTTGGTGTACTCCTCTGATTGGAACATTCAGATACTATGTGCTGTGATTTAGAGACCAATGGCAACACAATAACAAAGTGACTCAGGCAAATAAATAAGGAACAATTATTAGGGTTTTAAGATATCCTTACCCTACTTTTTTTTTTTAACCACAAAATAACATGTATTTCCAGGGCTATGTTCTCTTGACATTCAGAGGAAGGGCAAAGGTATATTTAGCAGAAGGACAGGAGGATGTACTTACCCATTTTGCCATCTTCTACAAAAAGCACATTGAGTGGGATGAGGCAGCTGAAGTAAAAGACATCAATATTGTTTTTAACAGCCACCTGCCAGGAAACCAACAAGGGAAAATGAGGACATCAGAGGGGGCCAGGTAAGAGGGGAAAAAAAGTTGTGTGTCTAAAAACCTATTTGCTTACTTCATTCCTCTTTTGGTCAGTGAAGGTATCCTCAAATCATGACACACTAACCTATACACTGCAAAACACATCCTTTATTACACCACTGTCATAGAACTCTGACCACCTGCAACTCTACTTTTCTCCACAAGGGCCATCTTCACGGCACAACTTCTATACCTAGAATAATAATCTATTTAGCTATTTTATATAATAATCTATTTTAAATAATAATCTATTTATCTATTTTTTTGGTTGTTGTTTCCATAATTATTTCTTTTGCTGGGTGCAGTGGCACATTCCTTTAATAAGTGATTTGAGAGGCTGAGACAGGAGGATTCCAAGTTAGAGGCCTGGGCAACTTAGTAAGATCCTTCCTAAAAAAAAAAAGCAGGGTGGGGTGTGCTGAGATGTAAGTCAATGGTAGAGTGCCCCTGGTTCAATCCCCAGTACCACTAAAAATTTTTTTCTTCAGTTAATTGTTTCTATGATTGTTAATAATAGCTGTTAGCACCTACTAAGTTTACTTACTAATGATATTAATATCTAATCCTTTTTCTAACTATCCCTTTTGAAGCCTAACAAAGTAAGTATCATTCATCTCTCATTTTACAGATGAGGATACCCAGGTTCAGAAAGACCAAGTCACATCTAGGATCATACAGCTACTATACAGAAAAATCAGAATTCAGACTTATATTTGTCTGACTCTAAACGTCGATCTTTTTTTTTTCTCTCTACAGCAACTAGCACCATATTGCCTCATCTTTGTTTAGATATGTGTTTTAAAGTTATTTCTTGTTTCCTAGGTCTTTTGTTGAAAAATGCTTGTTGGGTCAAACATTGGTAAACCTGATGATTTTAAGAAGTTTTCAGCCTTTTCGTAAGCAAAGAAATAAGCTTTCCACTCACAATACAATCTTATGGGCTGTGATTTTACCAGGGTCTGCTCAATTCAGAGCATGCTGTTTTTAGAAAAGCTACAGTTAGGCACATCTATTAGGGGCAAGACTAATGGGTGTACACATTCAGAAACAGGCAGATTCCACTGCAGCACAAGACCCATATACGGTAAGGAGAGAGAGGAAAACTGCTCCAAAGCATCACCTCCCACTGGTTACTGTCATAGTGACTTTCCTACCAATGCTCTTTGCACTGTAGGAAAGAATTTCTCTGGGGCAAATTCTGTGATCAGTAGCCATGTCTATTTATCTTTCATTTTGCTCTTTTTTTTAAAAAAAAAAAAGGAAAGAAGTGCTTGTCTGGTACCACTATTGTCCCTTCCCGCTTTTAGGACAAATACCTACACTTCAACCATGTGTCTCTTCATTAAAATTTTGCAATAAGATCCAAAATATCTTCTTTCTGAAGTACTTGCAGTCCTTTTACATTCTTTATCATTCATCTTCCTGACTTAAACTGTACTTTTGCTTCCTCCTCCATAACTGTCTGGTTATAACTCCTTGACAATCTTTCTCATCTCTCTCCCACAAGAATCCCTCAAATTACTTCCCTTGTAATTTTTGCTTTTAATCTTTCATTTACCAACCTTAGGAGTTTCTAAACTACATCACATACAATGCTAAGTTTATAGAATTCTCAAAAAGATCAAACCTAGTAGATTTAAGCAGAGTAACAAACGTTAAGAAAGAGGGACTTCAGACTTTAAGATGCACCAGAGCACTGCTTTCAAGGACTGATGCCAGTTGTGGGCTTCTGGGACTAAGGTATTTTCTAATTCATCTGGTACTCAGCAGAATTAGAAAGAGAACTCTTGTTTCAAATAAGGGCACCAAGAAGATTCTGAAACAGTGTTAGGCTCTGCAAAGGACATCTAGAAGAGAAGACTAGGGAAATTAATGTGGGTCACATTTAGGTCTCATGAGAAATGTGACTATCATTACTATCATCTTTGAATATAAAGCAGTAATATCTCACATTGTGCCATCCATTGCAATGTTTACTAATTTTTTTTCCCTCCCTGGTAATGGGGATTGAACCAGTAGTGTTTTACTACTGAACTACATCTCCAAACCTTTTTATATTTTAAGATGGGTTTTTCTGAATTGCCCAAGCTGGCCTCTAACTTGCAATCCTCCTGTCTCACCCTCCTGAGAAGCTGGGATTATTGTGCCTGGCCCTTTGGGACTCTTCTGACAAATGGATGAAAGCCAGGAACACTCTTGCTGAAAAATGCACAAGCAACACTTTGACATGCAATTGCAGGAGTTTCAACACACCCTGAAGACTATTCCAGGATTTCTGCTCTAGAGTAATTCTTGGAGAAGTGGGGACACCCTATGAGAGGCAGCACACAAAGATGTTCAGAGCATAGTCTTGGGAGTCAAAACAGCTGATTTCAAATTCTGACTCTGACACCTGCAGCTGTTTGACCCTGGGCAAGTAGTACTCATATAGTTTTCTGTCTATAAAAGGGAGATCACAATGGTTTAGAATTCATGGAGTTGTAATGAGTATAATTAGCTAATATTTGCACAGCATACAGAACATGCCTGCCTCCCAGTACTATAACAAGTATTTGATAAAGAAAAACTTACGCTTTTCACTATCTCCTGTTTTACTGAGAATTTTTCATAATTAAGGATAACCATATTAAACTTACCTGAATTCTTATGCTGAAATGTAGTACAACCATTATGTTAGAAAAAGATTAGAAAAGATTTTTTTTTGGGGGGTACTCGGGATTGAACTTAGGGGTACTTGATGACTGAGCCACATCCCAGACCTATTTTGTATTTTGTTTAGAGACAGGATCTTACTGAGTTGCTTAGTGCCTTGCTTTTGCTGAGGCTGGCTTTGAACTCTTGGTCCTTCTCCTCAGCCTCTTGAACCATTGGGATCACAGACATGTGCCACCATGCCCAGCTAGAAAAATTTTTTAAAAGCTTACTGGAGAATTGTTAGCTTAATGATTTTTTTTTGCTACTGTGTCTTGATAAAATATCATCTTTTAGGATCTCCTGCATAGGTCTCTCATTGTGGAAGCATTTCAACTCTTTTACTTTAACTTTCCAAATCTGTATTCTGCAGCTTTCAAACTTTTTACCCTTGCCTAGGATGCTATTCATTCCAAGAATATATGAACTCTTCTGAATCTGACCCCTGCCTGCTTCTCCAGTCTATGCCTTCACTTCAACAATATCAAAATTACTTCTTGTTCCCCCAATACTGAAACTCACAGCTCTGTGCCCTTTTACATGTTGTTCTGTTTTTAATATATTATTCTCCTTAAGGTTCAACTGTCTGAAGAATATCGATTTAACCTTAAGAATCAGTTCAGTTTTGAAATTTCTCAGAAAGCTCTAAAGCTTCCCCACAGTACCTAGCACATATACTTCTATTATGGCATAAAGTAATTATTTTCATCAGGCTCACTCATATTACAAAGAGCTCTGTGAGTGCAGGAGCTGGTTCTCATTTTCACTAACATACTGCCTAGTGCAAGAAACATTTGCTGCATGAAATTAAGGGAAAGAAAGCAAATGGAATGAAACTCTGGTCTCTCAACTCTTCCTCTGCCTCTTTGGTATGCACAACAAAATCTCACCAGTAACACTGCTCATTAGGCACACACATGGATTTTCAGTGAGGCAGAGATAGAGGGGATGGGATAATGTGGAGATTCTTTTGGTTTTGAATGACTGAGCTACAATAATATCTGCACATTAAGAAAGAAGAACATTGGTAGTGGATCATAAACCAAGGAATGCTAGATTCTCCAAGGATATTCCAATCATTATTTGGGTATTTAGGCAAAAAAAAAAAAAAAAAAAAAAAAAACCAACAGAAAAACACAGTACGAAGCCAGTTCAGTTCCAATCCTGATGTCAACTACTCTTTAATAGAACTGAATCAGCCTTAAAGAGGAAGAGGGGGAGGGTGAGAGAGTGAGAGAGATAGACAGGAAGGGATGAGGAAAGGGGAGGGAGGGGGGCAGAGAGAAAAGAGTGGAAAAGAAATTAATGGAGCTGTTTTCTTATTCTACAATTCACTATCCCAACGGGTTCAGAATAGAAGATATAATCCAGGCACTCTGGAGAACTACTTCTGTGAGCTTTAACATAATTCCTAGTTTGCTTATGGGAAATTAATGATCACATATACATCCAACTGCCTACTTAATATATTCACTTTGATAACTTAGAGAGATCCCAAAAGGAATATGTCCAAAACCAAACTCTTGATCTCTCCTCTCCAACCCCAAGTAGAACCTCCTGCTATCTTTCCAAACTCAGTAAATAGAATACTACAAAGCTTTTCAATGTCTCCCTACCTCTGCATTTGTCTCTACCCATCCCCTGCAACTCCTACTTCGCAAACCCTGGCTTCCCCAGGCTGTTCTCCACATAGCACCCAGTGAACTTAAAATGTAGGTCAGCTCATAAATACTCCTTGGTTCAAATCTCCAGTGACTTCCCATCTCATTCAAAATAAAATCACAGTAAACAACTGCCTATAATCTGGCCATTACCTCTGATGTCATGTTTTCGACCCTCCCTCATTAGCTCCACTCAGTCACAGCAGTCTGCTGCTCTTCCTTGCATACACCAGGCATGCTACTACTTTTTGCATTTGCTCTTTTTTCTATCTGGAATGTTTTTCCTCCAGAAATCTACATGGCTTTCTCCCTGCCTCCTTTAGGTCTTTGCATTAATGTTCTTCCATGATCCATGTATTTATAAAATTGCATCATTCAATCTCCAACCCTAGGAGTTCATACCTCAATTCTCAGCCCCCTCCATTGTCCTCACTACCATGCAACATACTTTTTTGTTTGTTTGTTTATGGTTGTCTCGATGCAACATACCATTTCCAACCAAGCACAAATTCTAAAAAGGAAGGGACTTTTGTTTACCACAGGATTATTGGTTTCTAGAATAGTGATTGTCAGAGAGTAAATACTGAAT